TCCCGATTCGTGGCAATCGGGGTGAATTTCACGTTGGAAGAGGAGGAGAAGTGAAGCAGAAGCACGGACATAGCAGACATGGCAGAGGAGGTTTAGGGTTTACCCGTGTTCTGGGCTGTTTGCTGTTGAGAAATCCTAATTTTCGGTTCTGGAATCCATGATGCTGGGTCATCAGATTCAACCAACGCTAGTTGGGAATGCAGGGTGGAAATGACTATAGTTCTTCATATAGTGCTCCTCAAGATATGACCACAACATGACCACAACATTCACATGCTTACAGTTTTTGCATTGTTTTTGCGACTCGTTTGTGCCCTTAGTGGCCCCGTTTTTGTCTAGCTCGGAATTCAATTCGGTCGAGGCCACACACAAGCAAGCAATCGCTTGCGCCTCGTAGTTGCAGCATGGAGTGCTAGCAGATTTGAGTTTGCTCACCTTGCGCAGAAACATGGGGCAAGGTGTGAGCTCTACTCATTTGAGGCCGTGTGCCAACACTGCAAGCCTTCTCGTAGCTCACAGCGAGCTGCCCAAAAAGCTTTGTGGGGTCACTGGTCAGAGTGCGATGAGGATGTAGGTGGAAGGTAATCCCGTCCACAAGGCGCTTTTAGGCAGAGTCCCCACATTTTGGCAGCTGCATGACAGCACATTCACCTTGGGCCATCTTGGGCTTTCAGATCTTGATATTTTTCGATTCGTATCGGGACAGCCCAAATTCGATTGCTGAGGGCTCGGTGACACCGCGACAGGTCGACGGTCGCCCGACAGGAGTCCGGTGATTCAGTGGAAGCTGTTTCGAGTCACGTAGTAGATGAGCTGCCATTGGTCAGAATATGTCAGAATCCATTTCCTGGAGACGTATCACAGTTTATAGCTGTGCTCTTTCGTGGGTCGGGTGGTGTGTGTGTGTGTGTGTGTCACCCCCTGTACCAAAGGGTCCAATGCCACCGTTTCCATTACCACCACTTAACAAGGCAGGGGGACAGAGCTCTCTGATGCTACTCTGTCCAACGAAGCTATGCATCAGAGAGGGAAGCATCCACTGGCCATGGATGTGTACCTGCTGAACGATTTCAAGCTGTGACTCCACTCTTCACGTTTTGATTCATGGTCCATAATGATACTTCCCCCAAACCGTTTTTCTTCCAGCCTTTTCAGCAGCCGCGCGTTTTGCAACATGTCATTGTGAGCAAACCTTTTGTTGAAACACCTTCAACTCTTCGGACCTTTCACCGTGCCGTTCCATCACCATTTTTCCTGGAAATTGAGTTAACTGAAAACCAATGTCAGAGTGTGAGCCGCTCAGTCTTCCCACTTGGGTGCTGGGTGTGAACCCCTTCATTGGGGCGCTGAAGCCATTCGGGCAATCATCGTTTCCATTTTTGATAACTGTTTCCCCTTTCTCCACCTCTATAACTGAATTAACGGAGTTTCGAGCCGCCGGGCTATAAACGATGGACTTTCTGCGAGTCCACTTGCACTGTCACTGCAACATGCCGCTAAGTATTCACCAGTCCATGTCACTCTGCTAAGTATTCACAGGCCGGACGAATTAATCGTGCACCCCCTCCCTGCCCCTGGGCCTCCTCTGCTATCCCACCCGCTACTGAGCAACAGAAGGAAATCGCACTCAACACACTTGTGTGTTGGTGCCTTTCCTTCTGTTTCTCCTAGTCTATTGCTAGCTACCCGGGCGGCTTAAGACGAATGTCCCGCTCGCAAACTACTTTCGTTTAACTAAGTGGGCCTCGTAACTACACCTATCTTTCTTTCTTGCCCTCTTAGTCTGCTTTTGTTTTGTTTGCTTTGTCTGTCTTTCTAAGGCTTTTTTAGGTGACTAATAGTTTTTTCGCTGTGCCAACAATTGGCGCTTTCTGTACAAATGTTCCCCCGGAGTCAGGACGCTACTGGAGGCCCCTGGCCTCACTACTACTTTGCTAGGGGAGACCGCGCCGAATACGGCTCTGTGTGTGTGTGTCACCCCCTGTACCAAAGGGTCCAATGCCACCGTTTCCATTACCACCACTTAACAAGGCAGGGGGACAGAGCTCTCTGATGCTACTCTGTCCAACGAAGCTATGCATCAGAGAGGGAAGCATCCACTGGCCATGGATGTGTACCTGCTGAACGATTTCAAGCTGTGACTCCACTCTTCACGTTTTGATTCATGGTCCATAATGATACTTCCCCCAAACCGATTTTCTTCCAGCCTTTTCAGCAGCCGCGCGTTTTGGAACATGTCATTGTGAGCAAACCTTTTGTTGAAACACCTTCAACTCTTCGGACCTTTCACCGTGCCGTTCCATCACCATTTTTCCTGGAAATTGAGTTAACTGAAAACCAATGTCAGAGTGTGTCTTCTATTAGATCCCCAATGGTGCAAAAGCATCCGAGTCAGTGGTCGTTCGACCAATCAAAACAGGAAGCTACCATGAGGAGGAGTGACTTCCATGAAAATGATCCATCGTACGATTTCCAAAGGGTCCATACGAACAAGGCTTTGCATCCCGCCTTTTTCTCGGCTCTTCAAGTAGGTCAAGTTATACCTTGCAAATGAGTCATGCAAGCAATTGTGTCAGCCAACATGAGATCTGGTGCTCAAAGGGGAAGGGCTTGGCCATTTGGAAGGCTTTTCTTGATTGCAAGAAGTCAAGGAGTTGCTGAAGACTGAAAATAGATATTTGCTTGCCCCAATCCCATTCTACCTTATATCGATGGATAACCTTCTAACCTTCATCCTTTTTGGGGGATTGGTTTCCCCTTCAACAGATGGAAAAAGGGTGAACCTGGAATTTCCCGGGTACATGAGGGAGACAGAAAACCTCTAAACCATGACAAACGGTTACCCTCCCCGGACCGAGGAAGTAGAATAGAACACCTGCCTGGTGCCTTGAAAGGAAACAGGCAGAGTGTTTTTTGAAGTTAGCAATAAAGAGCAAAACCCAGACACACAGTAGAAAATTGACAAGAACGTCCCGCAACCGACGTTCGTGAACATATGATTTTTTAAACGGTGTTGTCAGTGTTGTCTATTCAAACTGGATGACACGGTGCTTGGACCGATCACTACATCACACAATCAAGAAAAACCTGCGCTTTTGCTTGGTTGCACCGGGTTTTTTGTGTAACGCGTTACCGCCCGTTGCACGCGGCGCAAACATCGTGCAAAGTGCTGATGGAGTGGAGAAGCCTTTGTCGCGAGAAGTTGTGCCAGGGCCGTTCGCAAGCCGCCACTTGGCCCGCACCTCGGATTGTTCACACCAGCCCAGCTCGTCAAGTACAACTTCCCCAAGGCCCTAGGGGCTTCCCTTCATGGTCCGTGAGGCTATCCCACCCAGTATCCCTTCGGCCCTCGGCTACTACAGTCCGGCCCAGGTGGTCTTTGAGAACAGCGAAGCGTCCCTGGGCACCTGGGAGGTGCCGCTTCGCTCGAACGGCCTCGCGGACCGGCCTCGGAACGACGCGAGATGTCGGGCATGGCGGGCGAGAGTTGGAAGGAAGCGAGAGGACATGGAGCGAAGGGAAGCGAGGGGAAGCGAGGGGAAGCCAAGTGCAGAAAACGGGGAAGCCATGACTCCACCCTATAAACTAGCGTCCGATCGCTCCGTTCGTAGCGATGCCCTTTGTTCCTAGTTTCTTGCGCTTCTTGCTCCTATAGTAGTAAGGCCAGGAGCCCCTAGTAGTTTCTTGTTACTACTTAATATTTTGAGAGAGATGAGTCATGAGTGTAAGGCCATGGAACACCCCAGTGGTGAACCAGGGGACCGCATCATGGTTCAAGGGGGTGACTCAAAGTGTTAGTCGTCAGTCGTAACATCCTTTTATCCAAAAAGAGAACTGCAACCCTGATGTAAAGCCGTAAAGTAATATCATAACATTGAACCAGCAGTGTACTTCAACCACGCTTAACCCGACACATTGCCCCGCCGTTGGAGCTGGCCATGTTCTCCCCAAAAGCCTTTTTTCTCCAGGTGCTGCTGCTGCTCCGAGATCTTTGCGCCCAAGATCCAGAGGCATTGGGATTTTCTGCTCTGCTGGGAGGATGAGACGAAGCACAGCAATAACAAAAGGTAATGTTATGATGTACCTTACAGCCTACCTCTGAAATCTCAAGGATTCATAAAAAAGCAAAAAAGATGCAAAACCACACTCACAAAGGATGACCAGGAAATGCAAAAAAACATGCAAAAAAAAAGCAAAAAAAAAGGCAGCTGGTCAAAAAGATCGCATAGCAAAAAGCAACAAAAATGCAAAAGGAAGCCAGAAAAACAGCAAAAAAAACGCAGAACAGCAGTTCAAAAAACGCAAAAAAAAACGCAAAAAAATGCAAAAAAAATGCACACGCACCAAAAAGTCACAAAAAAGGTGACTTTTACAAGGAATCAAGCAGAATCAGGCAGGCAAAAGCAAGGGGAGAGCCTCAAGCAAACAGGAAATTGCTGGTAGGTCCGTAGGGCCGCATGAAATAGCAACAAATCACAAGCAGTAGCTAGGAATACTATAGCTATAGCTATAGTGTTGTATAAGAAGTTAGCTAGTAGTAAAGTGAAAATTCACAGTGATGCAAATACCTCGCTTCATCTTGACAACACTCCTGTCACTTTTCAGCGGGCATGACGTATGCTCCTGGCTGTCTTCTTGTCAAAGTCTTAAAGGTTTAAATGAGTTGAAATGAGAATCTTCACAGGCCCGAATCTTCAGAGGCCCAGCACAAGCACGATACAAATAGCTAATTTAAAAGGAACTAACATAGACATAGACTTAGACCAGTTCAGGACTGCACCTGGGCACCATTCGCTATGGGAATCAGTGGAGTCAGTATCAGTAGGGGAAAGCATCGTGCTCAAGCCATCTGAAAGCCTGAGACGACTGAGAATTGGCCAAAACTCGGGCAAAAGCGAGAAGGTCAGAGCTTCGAGTCTGAGCAGACGTTGCTCTAACTCGTGAGCTAAAGGAAACGCTGAAAGCCTACTCGAGCCCTCCTACCCTACACTCATCACTTGCTACTTCTTTCCAGCATCTAGCACAGACTTAGCAGCATTCAGTAAGGCAGGGTGAACCTCTTGCTCCTTGACACCATGGTTCCCACCAACCAAGGATTCCATTTCCTTCCGGATCAGCTTGCAGGCCATGTCATTGCTCTTGCAGACAAGACCGTTGGCCAGCATGCCCTCTGATTTGAAGAGTTGACCCATGTGGTGTTGGTGGCTCACTTCCTTCGCCAAGGACTCCAAGGTTTGCTTCACCTGCTTCCCGGTCTCATTGTTCAAGTCCTTCAAGAACTTCACACGCTTCTGCCACAGCGTCACATCGCTGCAGTCCTGCAGGGCAAAGGAGAAAATGCAAGTCTCAGACATTTCTGACCTCACAGTAAGTTGATTCATAATTCATAACTATATTTTTTGGGGGGATGGCAGGCCTGGTCCAGGGTGCGAAGGATATCCGGCAACTTGCTCACATCATCACCACCCAAGTGAAGAGACACGAAGGTCCTGACTTCCTTCACAGTTGCCTCCTCACCAAGAGAGTGCTTCCAGGATTTCCCCTCTCCCGGCAGGTGCTTCTCACTCGTGATTTCACAAAGTGTGCCCACATGCTTCTCCACTGTCGCCTTCATGTCATGCACAAAGTCATTCAGTCCGCTGATCACCTCCTCATTCAGTGGAAAAGCCTCACCAATGTCCATAGCAGCGATCTTGCCAGAGTACTCCTTGATCTCGTGCTCTGGCTGCTTGTCGCCACTGGCCTTCTTGACTGAGGCAAAAAAGCTTTCCGCAGACTTCAGGTAGGCGATCAGCACACCTTGCTTGACATCATTCTTGAGACGGGTCTTGCTGTCTGACCCAAGCTTGAGCCACTTTGCTTGCTGCTTTCTCAAGTAGGCCCCATCTGAAAGAAGCTTGGCTTGACCAGTCACAGCGCTGAGCTGTTGGTGGGAGTCAAAAGCAAGGTCCACCATCTTGTTCAGCAAAGTCAACTCCTCACTCTTGATGTCCGCTGGTTCCTTTCCATGGACACCCATTGCCTGATCGATTGTGGAGATTGCCAAAAATCAACAAGGGGAATGGGAGCGCTAAGTAGTTGTGAAAACAGCTTTTGTCCTCCTCACCCTCCCCACCCCTTCTGTCCACCAACGTCTTTGAAGGGTTACTCTAGACTCTATACAAGTGTGAACAAAATTGACCTAAACCAGGCCTCAAAACGCAGAGTGCGGAGCAGTGCCCAGCTAAGGTATTGCAAATCCCTCTTGACCTTTTCTTCCATTGGCTCTGAACCGCGCTCAAGTTTCTGCAGAAGGGAAAGCATGTCACCTGTAGGCGGCAAGGAGAAGTGAAAGGCTCCCCCCCCTCAACCTCTTGCTTCTCCAGAGTCTGGGTCATGTTGGCTAGGTTCTCAGCAAAGAGCTGCTGGGAAACCTTGCCCTGCCACTCAACAAACTTGCTCCTGAGTTCCATAATGCTTCGGTCACTGGCAAACAGGTTGATGGCGTAGGTCATGGTTGAAATCTGATTGACAGTCTCACTGTCAACACTTGAGACTTGGCAAAGTCTCTCGACGATCTTTACCACTCTATCCTTGACAAGCTGTGCCAAGTTGTCAGTGGCTCCTTCCTTGAGATTGCCCCGCATCGCTGGAAAGGCTTGGACTGCTGCTTTGAACGGCGCTGTGATGAGAGACATGTCCGCTTCAGGCACGTCCTCTTCCTCCAAATCACTGGTAAGCTTTTGCAGCTCTTGGCCAAGCTTCAAGGTGGAAGTGCCAACTTTGAGACAGTCATCAACACGAGACTGCCAAGCCTCATCTTCCTTCAGAAAGAGGTTCAAGCCGTTGACCAATGTGTTTGATTCATCGTGGGCGCTCATGAAATCTGTCAAGTTGGAGACGCTGGTGCCCAAATAGCCTGGAACTGGGTGAAGCAACACCAGCAAACAAGAGAAGGCCCTAAAGATATCGCGAGAGGCTGCCTTGACACCTGGGTTGAGCTCCGCAATGTTCGCCACAGAGTCTGCCTGGTAAAGTGCCACATACTTCTCGGCCAACCTTTGCAAGTATTTCAACTTCCCTTCCCCCCTCGAACAGGTTGAAGAAGGAGTCCGAGCCAACCGCAGTGATCATCGCAACGGCGAGTTCCTGGAGAAAGGCTTCATGGTGAAAGCAAAAGAAGAAAAACATTGTGTGGCACTACAGCTAGTTGATATGGATGCGAATGAACATCTAGCGGCGAATCTAGTGGAGCAGGTAGGCAACTCAGTCCTCTTCCTGCATCTTCTTCTCTTCAGCCCCTTCATCAAGGCTCTTGTGCACATCCACCATCTCAGCTGCCAGTGGGTCAAAGGAGGGAGACTTGACGCTCCAAGAAGCGCTTTGCCCATCCACCTCATACTTCCAAGCGCAAATGGAAGCCATGAAAGATTCCAGCACGGTCTTGAACGTGTTCTCATCGAAGCCGCTTCTGCCCACGTCTTCAAACACTGATGAGATGACTTTGCCGGTGATCTGGACACGAAGAGCAAGGGGAAGGGTGATGCTCGCATCGATGAGTGCCTGTGCAGAAACCTGAACATCCCTGCACCCGAGCCCTGCAAAGTTGTGGACAAGACCATTTGCCAACTCGCACAAGGAGATGTACTTCTGGAGAATCCTGTACTGGTATTTCTGCTCTGTCTTCATCCTCTCGCAGATGCGCTTCGCCTCAGATAGCTATGATTGCCAAAGCCTTGGCCTAACCCTGGGTTGGAATTTGAAAAAAAACTGTAGGCAAGTAAGCTGGGCACCCCTTCTACATAGACCATGATTCTCTCTTGCTTGAGCAAGATCTTGTTCACATCCATGCCTTGGAAGCACTTCGGGATTGACTTCAAGGCGGCAGCGACCTGAGCAAGCTCCTTCGGAAGGTCTGACTCCAGGACAGTTGAGGCTGCCTCTTCTTCCTCATGCTGTTTGGGAACACCCCTCTTTCCAGCCCCAGCTACCCTCTTCTGCCTTTTGAGCAACTCTTTCGACTTGGCTGAAAGCCTGTCAGATGCCTTTGGCCCCTGAACTACCTTCCCGGCATCGTCATCAGACTGGGGCTGGTCTTCTTCCGGCTCAGCCTCGTCAGCGGGCCTCTTTTTGGCATTTTTTCTTTTCGAAAAGAGTATCACACTTGTCCATCAGCTCATTCAGAGACAGAATCCTGCCCCAACCAGATTCGTCCTTCACATTCCTTGGGAGAGACTTCACCTGCACCGTTGCAAGGTTGTCAAAGGTTGCACTGCCCTGGCTGCTGATGATCTGGTTGGCTGCCTCCAGCAGCAATTGCTCATGGCTGACACTGAGGTCCGTGTAGATCTTCATTCTACGCATTGAGTGGATCTGGGCACAAGTGAGGTCTTCCAGGCTGACAATGTAGAACTTGCCAACCTTGTTGCCCCACTGGTTGGGCACATCGGACTCAACATCAAGCTTCAGAACCGTGCTCGAACTGGTTTGCCCCGATAGCTTGTCAAACTCCGTTTCTGTGAGCAAGCCTAGCTCTCTGTAGATCTCCATGCCTCGACGCTCCGTATCAGCCACATTCGAGCGAAGGGAGACAGAAGCCTCTGCCTCTCCCTTGCGAACACGGCAAGAGAGATGCCAATCGCGCTTCCATGCTTCTGGTCCGTCATCAAGCCTCCATCGGCAAGAAAAGAATGTGGATTTTTGGACAAGTAAACTTTGTAAACCAAACCTCAAGTGACATAAGGGCATCAGACACATTGCATGAGACACAACAAGACAGGCTCCTCTGGCAGCATTCAGACCATGGACGCCCTGGGTGAGTCTCGCTCCAGTTTGCACAGCAATTGAAGCAGGCATCCAAGACCTTGTTTCCCTCAGTGTCCTCCTTGGCCATCACAACGTCCTGTGGGAAGAACTGAGCAGTTGACAGCCTGCGCGACATCTAACTAAAGAGTTAATTACTAAAGACCGCTAAAGACTATGCCTGCCACTGCAGTACAAGTTTGTGAGGCCACTGAGAAGAAACGCGTGAAAGGCTCAAACCCAAAGACTGTCCTTGGAAGAAGCTTTGCAGGAATAACACACTCTGATTCTTTTGGCGGCAAGTTTGGCCGATGACGCAGCAGCAGAACCTGACTTCATACTCTGCTTGTCGTCATCGTTGTCCCTGTTAATCCCCCTCCGTGCAGAAGCTGGCTTGGCAAACTGCTCCTACCAACAAAAAGTCACAATGGTTTCTACCAAGAGATTAATTAGTCACAATGTTGATGCTTGCTAGGGAGGACCTCAAGTTTGAACAACCAAACAACAACCCGGGCAATCCTTCTTCACTTTGGCGCCCGACTTTTCCTCCTTCACGGATTTCCCCATGACCGTGAGGACACACAGATGGCCACACTACCAAGGTCGAGCGAAAACAGAAAAGGTGGCTGGCTGGTGAACCCACACTGGGCTGCTCAACATAGCACTGTCTCAAGCAATGTTTTTCAAAGGGTACCTGGTACCTGCGCTATACAAAGCTATACAAGACAAGTTCTTGAACGACTGCACTGTAGAGTGTAGAGTATGCAGTATGCTGGAAAGCGTTCCAATGCCAAAGACTGAAACTATGCCAGAACAATTGCATAGACTCATAGAAAAACTTCAACAAAAGTAACACCAAAAACATCCGTTTTGGCAGACAGCTGACTGCGGAATCTCTGTACTGGTGAGGGGAGCAGCCTCAGAGTGAAGACACTCTGCAAGGCCCACAGCTTCCCAACATAGCAATTATGGAGCTAGCTAGCCATGCGTTGCAATGGTACGCTTGCTGACAAACTGGTCAGGTAGACAAACAAAAGTGCAAACATGTTTCTTAAAGTCTTGATGACAAAGGTTTGTCCAACAATTGTTGCTTGTAACAGAGCACTCAAGACAGAACAAAGTAGCTAGCCACTAGCGGGTCGGGTCTAGGTCGACCGTGTGAAACTCAGCTACTCGGGGAATTGCTTTGCCATGTGGATGGCCCAAATTACAGAACTCAAGCATGGAACGGCCATGCCCTCGCCAGCTAGGTCTTTTGCAGAAGACTCGGAAACCGTCTCAGGAATGACAAAGCCGCTATTATGCCCATGGATCATGAGCATTTCCTTCCCTGTGATCACAGAATCACGGGAATATGAGTACAACAGGGTGCTGGTGGTGAATGCGCGGTTGATGCCTGCACGGTTTGTGTGGCAATGGCGGGAAAGGCTCTGAGACACATCGATGTATTTGTTCTGCATATGCTCAACGATGTGACTTGTGTTCTCCACAGAGTGTGCTGTTTGCTGGCAAATCTGCCCAGCGTAGCAGTCAAGAAGATCCAAGCATCTGGCCGTTTTGGGCAACCCCCTGCCCTCAAAGGCACACCTCCCTGTCCAAGGTTTGCTCTCAGGCTTGAGGCCAATCTGTTTCCTAAAAGCAGCCGATTCTTTCTTCCAAACTGCATCTCCATGCAGCTGATTGCAAGCCTCAGCTACTTATTTATAAGTATACGTATATGAATATGTATATGTATATATATATACTATAGACATAGGTTGTATAAGTATAAACATATTGTATAAATATATATATATATATGCGAAATCACGATAGAAGCACTCATGGTCACATGTACCACATGTCAAAGACATGAAACGCACAGACACGAGAAGTGTACCGCAGACCGCCTTTTGAGAGCTCAAAGATTCGCATGGTAGCGGAGCCAGTGATCCCCTTTCCAGAAGGTCAGGGGTGAGGCTCGCGAATCTGGGGACAGGACCCGCATCCCCAAGGGCGCCAGGGGCGAGCGCCTGTGTGCTGCAGCTGAAGCCATTGCAGCAGAGCTCGCAATCAACGCGAGAGGGTTCTTGGAGGAAGTGATCACGCAATCACTGCAAGAGGGTCCCTGGAGTACACGATCAGGGCTACAAGGTGAAGGAGCTCAACCTAGCCGGAACCAAGAAGGAAAATGGCTGGACTTGGAGGACAACCATCCACCCCAACGGCAACAGCTTTGGATGGTGCGGAGGTTGCACGCCGCATGATGATGGCAACTGAGGCGGCTAGTATGGCTGCACAGGCCGCAGCGGCTGCTCTGGAAAGGAAGACGGGTGGTGGTGATGATCGATCGTGGTTCAAGGTCCTTCCAAAGCCCGCTGGATTCGACCCCAAGTCAAGGGAGGATGAGCTAGCACAGTGGAGAGACTTTAGTTGGGGACTTGAACAATACCTTGCCTCGCTAGACTCAGAATTCCCCAACGACTTCCAAGAGCTTCGAGATCATCCTACGAGAGAGGTCGACCAGAGCATCCAGACGGACGAGGTGAAGCAGAGGGGAATGTTTCTGTTCTCACTGTTAGCCTCGTTGGTGAGGCAAAGGCCACTGGCGGTGATCAAACAGGTGAAGAATGCCAACGGCTTTGAGGCCTACAGGCAGCTGATCCAGAGCCTAGAACCGGCCAGCAAGAACAGGAGCTTAGGCTTGCTGACGATGCTGCTGGAGTGGAGCCCATTTGACATGAAGAAAGGTGGACTCCTCAACCAATTGCTGAAGCTGGAGGAGGGCTTCACAGAGTATGAGCGCACTGGATCGAGGCTGGAGGACAACATCAAGTTTGCTATCCTGATGAAGTGCGTCTCAGGTCAGTTAAAGACCTGGCTCCAGTTGAATGTGGCCGAAAGTCAGAGCTACAGCAAACTCCGTGAGGCAGTGATCCAGTATGATGGGGCTACGCTTCGATGGAGCAGTGCAATGATGCTGGGTCAGGATAGCAAAGATGGAGCGGTGCCCATGGAGATTGACCGGCTGCAGATGAAGGGCAAGGGCCCTAAAGGTAAGGGCAAAGGGAAGGAGCAGAGCCACAAAGGAAAAGGTAAAGGAGATGCAAAGGAGGCCAAGTCCAAAGGAAAAGGCCAGAAAGGACAGGAGTCAACCCACAAAGGAGGCTCAAAGAGTTCCGGTAAGGGAGAGCAGCAGAAAGGTAAAGGAAAGACACAACCAGTGAGGGAATGCTATGTCTGTGGAAAGCCGGGGCATTTGGCCAGAGACTGTTGGCGAGTTCGACAGGTGGCGGAACCCCCGGGCAGAGGAGACAGAGCAGAATCGGCAACGGTCCTCAGTTCACCCTCGA